AAAGACTAGAACTGAAGCAGAGACCAAGGGACATGAGCCAAAAGCTGCTAATAGACAAAAAAAAAAAAAAAAAAAAAATCAGAAATTTGTCTAAAAGCCATGTATTTCAACACGACACTAGTGGTTTAAATGTAGGAGCCAGACCCAGAGAAGTCACCCTTGTATTTGCAAGACAGCAGCTGAGGGGTCTTGCCTGTCCCACAAATGTCCAGCCAGGGTGTACTTGCAGCCACGCCTAGTGGCCCTGATACCTCTGTTCATGGTCCAGAAGGGAAACTATTTTTTTCACCTTCCCCAGTTGCAGGCTATTCCTGCCAGCAGCCTCAAAGCTCCTGACGTGTTATTAAAACAGCCTCAGAGAAAGTAAATATGACCAGTGGAAAACAAAAAATATCACCCAAACGTCCAAGGAAACCATGAGCGGAGGCACTGAGCTACATCCAGCACAGATTTTTCAAAAGGACAAGGATTTTCATGGCTCAGCGTTCTAATTTGTTTGACCGTTTATTTCCAAGGAACACATCCAAGAGTGACAAGCTCCATTTATTTCAATGGGCAGCATATGCCAGCAACGTGAATGGCGTGCGCTATAAAGGAGGATGGATGTTCTTGAGCATCCTAGAAAGCTGTCCTTGCGACAGACAGAGGACATGTAGGTAATGGAAGTGCAGCTCTGCTCTGACAAGCAACACCATAAAAGCAGCATTGTGGGTTCTCGTGTTTGATGTCTCCCCGTGGCAGCTCTGTGAGATTTGCTCAGGCTACAAGTGAAAAATGACTTTCCTAATACCTGGGCCAGTGGTGGAGAAAGCAGCTGGATTCTTTCATTATTCTACTTTCCCAGGCCAGAAGGACATCTCCTTGGGACAAATGGCTACTTCAGGGTGCTAGTGCCACGTTTTAGACTTTTAGGGGGTACACACCAATCAGAGTATTCTCACAAATGACTTCACCTTCAAATCATCGTATGACATGAATATGAGATGTCCACACAAATAAGTACCTCCTCTCCATAAGATACTATCACATGGCAGCACTGTTTTCAGTCCTTTCTCTTCCTACTACACCCTGGAGATAATCCTTTTCTGAATCTTGCCTTTCTATAACCCAATCCCACTGGCCTCTGAAAAAATCTGAGTTGTGAGGCTCTGTCACAAATTCAGCACCACTTATGATTTGATGTTGTCTGGTGGCCTGTGACACTTTGCTGTAAGTCTCATAGAAGTGGGCAACTTCTATTTGCTATCATTAATGAATCAACTAGTATTAATTCTATCCTAGGTCTTACCTAGTGAGCAGTCTGGTTCATAAGGTTTTACTGGGTTGTCAGCAAGCCCTGAAAGTCAAACAGAGTGATTTGCTTCTTGGTTTTCAATGAGATGACCCCTACAAAGGTGGCATGTGTCTTTATTGATATTGAGTCTTTCTCTGGACACCTTTCATTCTCATTAAACTTAAGAAGTTGCTGGGAAGGAGCAGGTGAGCTGCAGTGCCATCCACAGGAAACCACCCCCACTTCTCCTATATCTCTGGCCTTGGGAGCATTGTCTTAAACCAAGTAAAGAGAAAGAGATGCTCATGGCTCCCTTTACAGCCCTCCAGCAAAATATAATCCCAGCTTCTCCTCCATGAGATGGCTGTCCACCTGTGCTCAAGGCTCATTGTCATGGATTCAGTCTGTAGTAAGGCCACAGCCATACAATATCCCTGGATGTCCACTGTACAAACTGGAGACCCCTGCTGGGGTTTTTCTTATTCACTTTTTCTTCTCCAGGTGCAGCTTGTAGGTTGCAGTTTGACCTTTTACAGAGAAGCCAAACCAATGCTACTCATGCCATTGAGGTAATCTTTAATACAGTTTGGGAATCTCAGCTTGTCTTGATATCAGTGAGGTATTTCCTTAGTGAAGAGATCAACCATAGACTTGCACTGGCCATGCCTGTATTGGGGGATGCAAATCATAAGGTAGCCTTGCATCGATGCAGCTTTCTTTGGGACCATACGGATTCCCAATATGCAAGTCTCCACTTGTGGCAAGCTATTTCCTAAGGAAAAGACACAAAGAGGTGGAGGAAGAGCTTTAGTCGTTCCTCCTTTGTTAAAGTGAAACTTCTAGTTTCCATCAATTGCACTTTTAACCCTTAATGTCTGATTGTTTCTGGTGACCTCTTGAAACCAGCTTCTTCTTCCAGTTTAAGTGGCAAGAGGCAGGAGAGCTCTCTGCTGGGAGAATTTGGCTCTCCTTCTGGGCCTTGGGGCTTTGCTCAGAGAAGAGCCAGGCTGTCAGCTCCAGCATTTCTGACTGGGTTTTAAGGCTAAAGATGCAGAGACTACACCCTGAGTCTCGCAGCTGATGTGAGAAGATTTACAGTATCACAACAGGGAGGTTTGGGTAGACACCCAGGCCTGGCATGCCCAGGCCAAGGTGGGAGCCTCTAGATTTAACCCATTTGGTAGCAGAGCAGTGGGGGAATCATATCCCAGTGGCAGTAACCGGTGCTTTATGAAGCGTCAGAAATGTCCATCATAGCTGAAGGGCATTGAAAAGCAACTGTTTGGTCTTTTCCTGGAAATTAAAAGTAAAAAGCAAGCCATATGATGAGAGCATCTGTAGCAGAGAGCAGGCTGGCTCATATGAATCAGCAGCTTCCTGGCTGTTACCTATAGCAGCCTTAGCCAGCTACTTATTCCATCACCTGCAGCTTCTGTGGGCTGGGACCTCAGACTTACACCTTGAGGAGTGCTGGAAGCCAGAGCCCCCAGCACTGAGCCATGGTCAAATAAGGGCTGGAGAAGGCCTCCTTCACAGCTTTCTCATTGAACTGTGGGATGGTTGTTTGATGGAATGGGACCTTGGGCCTTGCAATGTGGAGCACAGTGACCTTGAACTGCTCAGATCCTGATCTCCAAAGAGCACCTGCGAAAGTTACCAGAAACCTGGGCTTAATGGGGATGTGTCACAGCCTCAGTGATTTGGATCTGAATCTTCCTGGCACGTCTCATCGCAGCCAAGGATAATTTGGCCAAGCACTTCCAGAAGCAGCGCTGGGATCACGCTGGATATCTGTGAAACCAGTGCCAGTATGTGGGGTCATAGCATCTAAACAAGTGACAGCCTCCTGCTGCCTTGGAGACTTGTTATGGGAAGAGGAAGGGAGGTAAATTGCTAAATTTCCTTGGGAGAAATGTTCATGAGAATCTTCTTTCAGGCATTTCTTTTCCTAGAGGACCAGGTGACATGCAGGGAGATTGTATTCTTTGCTAGGGTATCTACCATTTTCAAAAAGAGAGACAAACCCCCAAATTGTTCAGGCATGCTACTTATTCTCATTAAGGTCCTGTAAATCATAAGAAGTGCAGAAGCTCTCCCCATTTGGGAGCAACAGGCTCTCCCAGCCTGTTGCATGAGGGTGAACTGCAGAGATCCCTGCAAGTGTTTTCCTGCCACCTAACCCGGACCCATCCTGCTGATGGGACCTGGAATGACCCACTGAGCTGCTGGTGAGCAGCAAGACCAGTTCTGCTCTGTCTCAGTCACCCCTCCTGCTGCCCCTTTATGTGGGCTCCAAAGGGTGCCTAACAGCACAAGCTCCTGCCGCAGGAAAATCCCAACACAGGAAGACTATTACACCAAGAAAAGTGGCTACAACCCCCATTTGAAGGGATCTGCAGAGAGGGTGATGGGGATCAGAGCAGAGAAGGGGAGGGACTGGGGCAAGATGGCAGCAAGAGGAGTCACTTTAGTCTCAGGCATGCCCTGGCTCTGGCATGAGGGTGCCTGGTTCCATCCAGCCTCTTGTGAGCAGAAAAGCCACAGACTCATGGCTGGCTCCCTCGCCTCATTGTCTGTGCACTGGAGCAGGGAGGGCAGAAGGCAAAGGCACCAGGGAGGCCTTTCTGCCCCCCTGGCTCTGACAGGTCCACGACTGCCATGGATCAGGATTGGGGGTGGGTGGGGGACAGGGCATGGGGACCACCAAAACAAATGCACTAAAAAACAGTCTGATGATTCTCCACATGCTTGGTGTACATGATGCAAATTGATGTTTAAAGCTTATTTATTATCTTACATGTGAAATGCCAGCGGTGTTTTTCTAGATCAGTGGGTATCCGATATTTGGTCGGTGGGGAGACGACGGCAGTGGGAGCAAGCATGTCTAGAGACTGTATATCCAGAGGCTAGGGTTTATATCATGGGCTGCTCTCGACTGTTATAATTTGTGGCACAGATTCAGCGAGAATCTGATCTGCTGAAAATATTTGGGCTGTGAAAACTCCCACACTGTGACAGATGTCAAGTCCAATTAAGTGACTCGTGTCCAGGTTTCTGTCCAATAGGCTTTCCCATTAAATACCAATTTAAGAGGGAAAAAATGCCGCCCCCTTTTCTCCGAGCCTTTATCTCTTCCGACCATCTCTAGGCGAAACCCTTTGGTACCAGGAGTGGATCCGCACGCATCTCCGCTCTATCTGTCTCGCCGTTGCCACCTTCCGCACCCCTCCTTGGCTTCTTTGCCACTCCGGGAGGTGTGGGAGGAGGAACTGCACTTTCTTTTTCTTCATGTGAGCGCACCGCCGTTATCTCTCGCAGCCGCTCCGAACCCGCGCCGAGATTTTCGTTTATTTTGTTTTGCTTTTCTTTTTCAGCGTTCGTATATTTTCCATTATCCTTACTCGAAAGATGCAGGAGGAGTTAGGAAGCTCAGGGACGGATGGGGGTTTCGTTTATCCTTTTTTTTCCTCCCCTCTCCAGCTCTTGAAGGACTAGAAGAAAAACTAAACCAAACATTCATTTTCCGACGGCGTCTCTCCCCTCCTCCTGCCCCTCTCCGCCGGACCGGTGAATTAACAAAACCGCACGTTACATTCCCCCTCCATAAAAAAAAAAAAAAAAAAAAAAAAAAAAAAAAAAAAAAAAGGAAAAGAAAGAGAATAGAGAAGAAAGGAGGGAGCAACGCATTGTTACCCCGACCCGCGGCGTGCCTGCTCGCCGGGCCGCGGCGGAACAAAGCGGCAGCGCCGCGTCGGGCTCCGCGCCCCGGGCTCCGCGTCCGGCCCGGCCCGGCAGCGGCGCGGCCGCCGCGGGCGACGAAAGGCCGAGGGGGCGGGAGACGAGGAATAATCCCGGACAGTGCCGGTGCTGTCGCAGCATCCCTTTTGTTATTTATCGCGACCGGGGAAGAGGAGGAGGAAAAGCGGGGGAGACGGCACTTTTTCCCCTGTAAAACCGACTGGGCGCAACCGCCGGCGCGCTGCATCCCGCTGCCCCGAATAAACGGGCGGAGGAGGACTTTGATGGGGGAAACGCTTTTTCCTCCCCTGATGCATCGTAAGTAACTTGTTATTCATACTCCACAAACAAACACGGCGATAACATCTCCCATCTCTGGAGCGCTGGAGGCCGCGGCGAGGGATGAGATCTGCCTTTCCCCATCCGAGCAGGACACTTTTCCGCTCGTAATTCATTTGATTTGATTTTGATTTTTTAATTTTTCCATGCTCCGCTCCCGGAGGGTCATTTGAACTGTAAAGGAATCGCCGAGGGGGCGAGGGGACCTGGAGAGAGAGGCTGTCCAAACGACTCCACCGAGGTAAGCAGCCTTAACAATATCTCCCTTTTGCAGGTAGCAAGGGCTATTGGTTTACTGTAATAATAAAAAGGGGGAAAAAATAGAGAGGGGGACAAAAAACCTCTTTCCGGATCAGCTTACTAAAACCCACTGTACGGATAAAAACCCAAACCAAAGGGAAAAATTCAACTCACACCGCAGAAAAACCTCTAAGCAACTTTCTTCAGGAAGCACCTCTTTAATTGCCCATTTTCATACAACCGCGCTGCAAATCCTCCCTCTCTAGTGTGCTTTCGCATGAGCCCCCTCGCTTGAATCCCAGGTGAAAGGTGATTTTAAACCTTTCTTATGTATCCTTTTGCCCCACGAGATCGTTGATACCTGACCTGCGCGCTAGTCCGGTTTTGTCCCTACCCCTGCCTTGTGGGCCTGATTAACGCTCCTTATTAAAAATCGAAGAGGAAGCGTTTCCGACGGCCCCGGCAAGAGACGGCCCTTTCCCTGGGAAGGAAGAGCTCTGCTCTCCCCCTCCCCAGTGCTGGCCCCCTGCACACCCCGGGGAGTGCCGAGCGCCGGCCCTCGTCGGAGCTCTGCTGGCCTGCCACACGTGCCCAGCTTCTCGTCCCGTGGGGGAGGTTTGGCTCTAGCCTTGCCTGGGAAGAATTCGTACTGCCCGTATTATTATTATTATTATTATTATTATTATTATTATTATTATTATTATTATTATTATTATTATTATTATTTTCCCAACCGGGTCTAAGGGCCGAGTGAGACTTTCCCTGGAAACTTTATGTGGAAATACTTGACTCGGTCTCACTCCCCACCTCACTCGACACCCCAGCCGTAAACACACACACATACACAGAGACGCACACATTTGTGTTCAAGGTTATTCACTAGTTGCCTGATGTATTGTTTTATTACATGCCGGCATGTCCACGGACGCGCTCGGATTTGTATTGCTGTCTACATGACAGATGGTGCTCTGTGAGGCCGCAAGAAGATACGATTCAATTTTCTTTTGAAAGGCACGTTCTCATTTATTTATTTATTTATTTAGCCTCCCCCCACTCCACCCCCCCCCCTCTTTTCACGCAGGGTGGGGAGAGGAGGGAAAATTTAAAGGGATGGAAAAGTTCAGCAGCAGCTGTGGGGTTTTGTTTCTTTTCGAATCCCACGCTTAGAAAACGGAGACTCTGTCAACATCCCCCTTTGGTAACTGGCAAATCGCTATATGCACAATTAGCGCCAGGGAAGGAAAAAAAAAAGAAAACAGAAGGAGTGCAGAGAAAAGAGCGGAGGGAAGAACCCAGCAGATACATCAGATCCCGTAGGGACTGGAGAAATAAATCTCCCCACTGGCCTTGTTATGTATGGGGAGTCTTGATCTGTGTATTTAAAAGCATCATGTCTGTAGCCTGGATCCCATAGAGCGTTACCGAAAGAGAAATGGTTAAGCAGAAACTGGCAGGCCAGAAAAGACTCTTCAAATTGGGCGCGGGGGTCGGGAAATCGACATAATATTGAGCCACTGGATATTAGCTTGTTTGAAAAAAAATATATACTCTTTTATTGCTTTCCGGGCCTGTTCCTACACCCAAGCAAGCTCCCGGAATAACAGCAGGGAGTATATTCCACCGAAGCTGCGTCAAACTCTAGAAAGGAGATGGTTAAGTGAGGGGGCATCGTTTACCCCGATATTGCTCCCGTTAGTACTCCCTGAAGGAGCCGCGACCCGCCCTCCCGCTGCCGGCCCGGCTCTCCCTCCGGCGGTACCGGCGCCGAGGGCAAGGCGCGGTGACTGGCATGTCCCTTGTGTCCCTGCCCGTGTCCCTGCCCCGTGCCTTGCCCCTGTATCCCCGGTGCCCTGACCCGCTCTCTCCGCTTTCTCTGTCCCGGGAAGGCTCCTCCGCCCCCTCCAAGATGATGCTTAGCCCGGACCAAGCCGCCGACTCCGACCACCCCTCCTCGGCGCCCTCTGACCCGGAGTCCCTGGGCGGCGCGGACGCCCAGGCTCTCAGCTGCTGCGTGTCCGACCCGGAGCCCGCCGAGGGCGGCGGCGGCGAGGGCCGGGGCGGCGGCGGGGGCGGCGGCGGGGAGGGCCGGGTCGGGGGCCGGCCGGGGCTGCACCCGCCGCCACTGAGCCGGGAGGAGAAGCGGCGGCGGCGCCGCGCCACGGCCAAGTACCGCTCGGCCCATGCCACGCGTGAGCGGATCCGCGTGGAGGCCTTCAACCTGGCCTTCGCCGAGCTGCGCAAGCTGCTGCCCACCCTGCCCCCCGACAAGAAGCTCTCCAAGATCGAGATCCTGCGCCTCGCCATCTGCTACATCTCCTATCTCAACCACGTGCTGGACGTGTAGCGCCGGGCGGGCGCCCGGAGCCCCGGGACACACCCCGCCCGCCGCCCCGGGTCCGGCCGCGGCGGGCAGCGCCTTCCCCGGGGCGGGCGGTGGGGCAGGGGGGTCCCCGCTGCCTGCCCTCCCTCCCCGGGGGGGCTCCCGCCCGGCCGAGAGCCCGCTTTTCGAAGAGAAGTGTACAACCGGATTGTTTCTTCAGGCTGTCAAGTGCCCCTTTATATATATCCAAAAACATCTACTTGTGACCTTAAACGTGTGACCCATGGGTGCAGTTAAAAATAACTATTTTTTATTTATGGTAGAAGGAGTTGACAATTTATTTTTTTCAAGATTTATTTATTTTTCAGAGTGGTGGCAATTTTACTTTGGATACTTCGTGCCAATTGGTTTCTATAGTCGGGTGTTTACACTTTCTCCTGTGGATTATTATGTTTGACTTTATGAGTGTTTGTTGGGATCGATACAGTGGTCATTTTGTTTTCTTTTTAATTTATTTTTTTCCCTCCAGTTATATTGCACTTGTGTTCCACAAACCTCCCCTCTCTTCCTGTTTATAAGTATATTTTATATATATCAAGGCATTTGTTCTTGACCTTTTTTCTTTCTTTTCTTGTGTGGGATCGACAACCACTAGCACTTAACTAGAAGAGTTTTTTTAAAAAAAATTTGTTGTTATTCTGATCTATAGTTCTGTCTGAAAAGTACTTTGCAAATCGTTTATAAGGGAAGTAGTTTCTTTGTGAGTGTATATATGTGCGTGTGTGTATACATGCATGTGTGTGGGAGTGAGCGTGGGTGTGTATGTGTGTGGTATATTTTTAGGAAAGGACATTTTTTCCTAAAAAAAAAAAGAAAAAAAAAAGAAAGTAAAGTAAATCCAGGACTGCTTTCCTTTGTGAGAACCAAAAAAAATCTATAACCTGAAAATGTTTCATGTTCTTTGCTGTGAATCTCTTAAAACAAGAAGCGCATTCTAGGGACAAAAGAGAAAAAGAAAAAACACATCTGCTATCCAAAGATTTTAGTCTTTTTCAGGGTTTTTTTGTGTGTCTCTGTTGCTTTATATAATGCAATATTTTGTAGTGAAAATAGATAAATCTGGTTTCTATCTGATGCGTTTTTCATATCTCTCATGAATGGTGAGCTGTTTTGCATATAAATAAAAGTATCAAATAAAAGCTGTTTTTTCCTAATTATTTTTCCCGTTGGTCTTTCTGTAAGACAGAGATGTGGTGCCCTTACGAATTAAGACTGCACAGGCTTCTCAAGTCGTGCGTGGGAAAGCTTCAACAGGTTACCTGTGTCTTCCTAGGGAGGCTCGGACTACAGTCCTTCCCCCACAGCTCCCTTGCTCCAGCTGCTCTCAGCTGCCTGCCCTGCCCGAAATGCAGAGGAGACACAGGACCCTTGCTGTCACTTTCTCCCAGTCACGTCTTGACTGGCATCTGGTCATACATTTCAAAGTTCAAGCGGTACAATCCAATCTGTTGCTTGCAAGCACCTGTTTCGCCACCTTGCCCTTTGCCACCCAAATATACGTGTTTCATCCTGCCTGAACACACTGGATTTTCTTTCTTTTATTTAAATTCATCTTTGATCCCTCTCTGGCCAGGTCCAGTTCTCCTGAAACCAAGGAAAAATCTTGAGCCCTTTCCTTACTTTAGAAAACCTCAACCACACTCTTTTATATAAGGCTTCACTGACAAACCTTGTCATTTGAAACACAGAACAGACACAGACTTAATGGCAGACAGGTTATTACCTGAGTAATGTGAGACTTCTATACCACCCCGTTTATTAAATCCTTTTCTTGTTTTCCACAAGGGGTTAATTTTACCTATAGTTTGAATACTACCACTGACTCTGGTGGCTGCATCATCCATTGTTACTTGCTGGAGAGACAAAACCCTCCCCCCTCCTATTTTTATGGCTGACAGTTTGCACAGCAGTTTAATTAAGTGTAGTCTTGACCAGATGAAAAGCTCCATGTAGAAATCCTGTCAGAGAGGCTGCTAATTCCACTTTCTACCAAGTGACATGCTTGCCGTGTCCCAAGGGAGCACACATTGGTTTGGTAGTTCAATACACAGTTTTTAAATCCTGCATCTTTTGGGGTTGAAATAACTCCACCAAGTTTGGAACTGGTTTCCTTTGGGACAGACTTGTTTCTTAGGTTCAATATCTGGCACTGTGTTGAGTTTGATGGCAATTGCCTGAGCAATATCATATATCCAGCAACCCTTCGTGCTACTAGCATTTGGAAGGACTTAGTTAATAAAAAGATAACCATAATATTTCCTTCTCAACAGTGGGGAATGCATGTTTTAGGGAAGAGAGTGCTCTGCAATGCCTGACTGTGAAGTATTGTGGCTGCAGTCACTGGCAGTTGATTCAAGCACTCTGGTTATGGGATAAGTAGGGGTGAACCCCCCATTCCCCCTGGCCTCACTTCCCCCTCTGGGGGTCCTGCATATGTGTCAGGGGCATGGGCTGAGATAATGCTCAAGCAAGGTCCATGCAGTGAAGGTGGATCAAGCAGCAGTTACTAGCCCAGGGTCTCAAGATCCCAACCATGAGATGCCCAAGTGAGAAGCAAATGAGGCCCCTGTGTTGAGAGCACAGAAGTGCGACACGTGGAGATGTGTGGGAACAGCTCAGGTTTGGAAGTAAGAAAATCTTTCTGGCCATTACATTTCTACCACCCCCTGAAACAACAGAGAGCCTGCTTGCACTCAGAGAGAGGGCAGGAAGGGCTTTGCTTTTGATGGTATCCACAGGGTCAAGGCTCAAGTTTAACCTGCAGAAGAGGCAGGGCACCTGACCTGAAGATATCTCCTTTTCTTCCCAAGGTTTATATGATGGAAGAAATTGCTTCTCCCTACAAGTCCTGTTTCACTTCCATACTCTCACAACTTTGTTTATATCCCTCACCACCATAACATCATCCCAACCTCTTCTTTTTTTCCTGCTGGCACCAAGAAGGAAATTTGTTGTCATCTAGCAGTTGGTAACTGTAGAAAACAGAATGTAGGTTTTGTTTTGCCATCCCACCCCCTTCTTTATTCACAGGAAAGAGCTGAGTAGTATGTACTTGATACAAGGCCGATATAATTCGAAAGCTGCATGGCTAAGTGCTCAAAAGTCTATATTTATGAAGAATGGGTAAACAACTTTAACTGCACCTCACTGCAAGTCTGGGTTAGATAGCAATAAAGTCTAATTATATAATCAAAGTGACTTTGCCTATGTCTATGGTTCCCTCAACAATAAATTAATTAATGACCTTGAATGACAATACTATAGGAGGAATGGGATGGAACTGCTCAGTGGAAGTTTATATCATGTGTGGCCAATCCAGCAACTGGCAGGGAAGAGACACAGTTAATATTTCCTACTTTTTAAACTACATTCAGATACCTTTCTTTCACAACTAAAGAGGAGGTCATCCTACAAACCGTGAAAGAAAGTGCACTCAAAGACAGAGAAGGCAGAGTGCTACTTCTGGACCTTTAGCTGAGCCTAATAGAGGTACTTTAGGCCTGACTCGATCCAATACATAAAACATTTCATGGAAACATCCAGCATTCACAGAGAAAAGTAATTCCCGGTGCAAGGGATATCCAGTGCACCTTTAACATGAGGTGATAACACCTACTAAGACACATTTTCAGACCTATATGGACTTGGAAGGACATGGGGCAAAATACACATTCACATTGGTATTTTTAGGACATCTAATGTATTCATCTAACCCCTGGAAACAGATCCTGATCCAGCAAATGAGGACAGACAGTAAGCCAAAAGTAACTTCTACAAATGAACATACTGATTTCCATAGGACTGTACAGCTAAGGGGAGAACTGTATCTGAGTATCATACATTTTCCTAAGACATTGAAACACCTAAAGCACAAAATATTCCAAAGTATGGGCTTGCATTTATGCTGCTATTACATATGCACATAGAAAACAAAGACTTTCTAGCCATAGACAGTCACTCACCAGCAAAGTGCATGGTACTTTGTGCATTCAGGATCACACTACTCCCCAGCCACAGGGTAGTGTCTTATTGCTTGTGTTAAAAAGTGGGTGAGTGAGATAGGATTTTACCCCTGACACTTACAGCAGATATGTTCTGAGGGTCTTGGATGTGATTTGATATATTTGCTGTATTTCTAGCAAAGAGTATTTTTGTGTGTATGAGAGAGAGGTGGGGGGGTAGGGAGCTGAAGAGGATATGGTATACGAAACTCAACAAAGAAATGGACCTTTTCCATTATATAGCTGTGAAGAAATACCATCAACATTCTATCTATCTATTCACATATCTATCCATCTAGCCATCCTGTAACCCAATTAACCCAGTTCTTTTAAGGTGAATAGATGTGTTCTGATATTAGCCATTATTTTTCAGTACTCTCAGTTTATTCTCCAGGGTGGGACAGATCAATAACTGCAATAGCAACCGACCCAAAAGGAAAAGGCAATCTCCCGGCGCTTCTTATTTATTTCTTCAGAGCCGATTTCGTTTTTCCTGCCTCTTCCCCTGGTGACGGATTTTGCCTTTCCTGCCCAGAATGGCCGTGTTGTTTTATCCTGGGCTCTATTTGCATGTGAGCTTCAGATTCATCCTTGGCTCCTTGCACGGTTTGGGATGAGACCCTCCTGTCCCCAGAGAGGGGGGCAGGTGTTGCTCCAGTCGAGCGAATGGAACCAAATTACAGGACCGTCTGTCGCCTCCTCTGGGAGCCGGCAGAGGGAGGGGAAGAAGGGGAGGGGAGCGGGTTGCCGTATGACAGAAAAGAAAAGCAGAACATCATACTGATGCCGATAAGAGCTTGAAAACATGAGTTGCCCCAGCCCACAGCCCCACCCAAAACCAGGCAGCAGCCACCTGAAAGAGAAATGTTAGGAGCAGAGACAGAAATAAATTGAGTCACTGGGCTGGAATAACTCAGGCTTAAAAAGCTCAGAGAGCTCAGACTCTGTCCACTTTCAGATACACAAGCACAGGCATAAAGTTGGGCCAGCTAACGCTGCTTTTTTCTCAGCTCACTGCAGAGCTCTTTGATGCCACCTCCTCTGTCCCTTCAGAGCAGGCTCCTCTGCTCACCACTGCTCTCCACCAAGTCCTCACAGCCCAGTTCTGTCAGCAGCTCCTGCTCCCCTCCCTCCAGCTGCTCCTTCTGGCCTCCCCACAGCCAACCTGCCCTTCAAGGTCCCTGAGAGAGGGACGACTGCGCAGAAGTCCTGCTCCTTCACTGCCACCACCAGCAGCCCATTCCCTGCAGTGTAGCCAGTTCTTGTTCCCACAGGGAGCTGCTTAGTGCTGCAGCTCAGGGGGATAATGACAGAGCTGGTGTCTCGCTTCTAATCTGTGCAGGCTTCTACCCAATCGACCTGAGAGAGCAGTTGATGTTACAGAAGTTACATCTCTCACCCACCCATTTGCTTAATGCATTCTTAGCAAATTAATACAAGATCCTCATCCACCACCACCCCCTCTCCCCCTACTTGCTTTTGATGCTTTTTTTCTCCAGAACACACAAGTGTGCACAAACACACACATTCGTGTGTGAAATGATAGCTCTTGAAGTGATGGGACACAGAGTCACTTGGAAAGCAACAGGTAGTGGTTCTGCTGTTCCTCACTGAAAAACAAAGATGATCAGAGAAGAAAAAGCTGCTTTCAGAGATCTGGGAGAAGGGATGAAAAAAAGGTGTCATTAAAAGTGCTTAAATAAAAGCGAAAGCAGTGTGGAGTGAAAGAGAGAAAGGCAGAAGAAGTCAGGACACGTAGGTGGAGGGTCCACACCAGGCAGAAACTGAAGGCAGAGACAACATGAAGGATTTTGCATGAAGGTGCTGGGGTGTACATGTGAACCTGGGGAACACACAGAGGGAGCACTGAGGAAAGAAAAGCATTTGAGAAGGCAGGCAGCAAACATGGGAAAAGATGGCAGCAGCAATTGTGAGGAAGGAGAAGGA